TGTACACCTGAAACTAACCCAACACTGTAAATTAACTATACCTCAATAAAAAAATGGTTATTGAAAAAAAATCTGCAAGATTGAAAACCCTATCAAAGCTACGAATATAGCTTTAAAGGATAAATGAAAGAATACACTGGTATTATCTGAGTGAGTGAGCACACAGAAGTAGTCTGCATTTCATCACCTGCTCACTATTCTTCAGAGAAACGATGAAGCTGTGGTTGAGGGTTTCCAGGTGAGCCAGTGACTTCTCCAGATGATTCAGGGCATCTGCGTAGGTCATCTTAGAATCACTAGCCTCTTGAATGTCTTCTGAATTTCTTTTCCTTGGCTTCTCAATAAAATGTTTGACTGTCTTAATAGCCTTTCCAGTCATTTCTTTACGTGCTTCCACAGATAGCTTTAACAAATAAACAAACAAGAAAGACAGGAATTGAACAAAAGTGAGACAAATCACCCTACATTATTACACATGGCATATGTAAAAGATATTAATGTGGTAGAGAGAACAAAAGTAAAATTTTAATATATCCAACTTTAGTGAATAGGACTTTTGCTAGACTGGTTTTTCTCCCATGAAGAAAACAAAAATAGGGAGGTACCACTTGCACTATTACATGAGCAAATACAGCTTTTTAAATGCTAATACCCCAAAGCAGGTGGTGTCTTGATGAAACTAAAAGTCAAATAGATTACTGGTTACAGTGAAAAATTGAGGAGTCAATTCTACAACCAGTTCTGATCATTTATTATAAGGAAATAATTCAAAAGAAGCAAACAGTACAGGAATGAAGATTTTAACTGGAATAAGAACATAAAAGTAAAACTGCAAAAGCAAAATCTAATTGTCTGATGATATGAGATATGGTAACCAGCTTATGATAAATTACTAGATAAAACATTATGCAGCCGTTAAAATTAGAATTATAAAAACAGTATAGCCGTTTGGAAAATGGTTATCATAAAATGTTCAATTTTAGGAATCAGAAATCATAAAACTATTTATACCATGCTTACATTAAAATCTGAACTATACCTGTGCATGTGGCTGAACACACACACACACACACACACACACACACACACACACACACACACACACACACACACTCTCTATTGGTGACCATTATGTTAACGTGTTGGGATCATGAGCAATTCTGTTCTTCTCGATTTTCCAAATTTTCTATGATAATGTTGCATTCACTCATTTACTCACCAATTGCTTACTGGATTCTGATGTGTGACGGCCGCTGCGATAGGTAGGCAAGGGTCATAGTTTTCTAGTATCTGATATGTTAAGCTCGCTTGGCCTCAAGAAAACTGAAGTTTAAACTTAACCCGCTTGGATGGAGGTACCACGTACCTCTGAGCCATTCTGGGGCCTTTTCAGGCCCTGCTGATCTGTGCTGCTCTGGACCCTGGAACTCAGTCTCTTGTCAACTACTCCAGCAGATGTGTACTAGAGCCTTAAAAGGGCTTTGTGTTGATTTAACAACAACAACAACAATAACAGACAAAGAGTCCTAGGACAAACTGTTATCTTTCCTATTACTTCTTAAAATCAGTCACGGTCCGTCTCTGGGTATTCTGAAAACTAGGCACAGGCGGCAATACACAGCACCAGCGACCACACCAATCAACACATGGCAAACCTCCCCCACCCTCCATTTCCCATCAGCTCCCTCCAAGTCATTCCACATAAGAGTAATGTTTTATGAGAGATGGCATTTTCTTAATCCCATATACATATTGGTAAAAGGATCTTTAGGAAAGCACTGCTTTCCCTGAATTGTAAGTATCTGCTTTGCAAATGCAGCTTCCAAACAAGTTCTGTGGCCCCCACTCCTTACCAGCACCCATGACATGAAACAAAATCAGAAGCTACCACTGACTGCCAGGTATTAGTTCCATTACTATCTCTTCCCCTAAATAAAGTGCGAACTCCTTTCTGCGACTGAGAAATACAAGATACTAGAACTTGTGTTTAGTTCATCAGACCTCCCTACGCCCCATTATGTGGATGGAAAGACCAAGCCCCAGGGAGGCTGGGTGGTATGTTTGGGTTCATTATGAGAGTGGGGAGAGTAAAAGTCGGAATTCAGATCCCGTGGTTACCAAGACAGGGCTCCCCCTTCACTGCGCGTCACACAGATGCCACTTGGTCACGTCTGCCTCATCACGGGCTCTGACAGAGCATGAACAAAATCAAGGCTTCAAAGCCCTACTAGGCCCTATATGATTTGCCCTTCACCTCACCCCACCTCTCTAAGCCTGTATCCCGCCTCTCTCCTGCTCTCAGCCCACTCTTAAGACACTCACCTCCCTGCAGGCCCGCAGAGTCTTTCCACTTGTTGGTCCCTCTGCCTGAAATGTTCTCCTCCCAGTGTATCCTCATGGCTCATTCCTGTGCTTCCCTCAGGACTCGGCACAAACATCGCCTTATCCGAGGCTTCCCTGACTACTGAGTAAGAGCTGCCACATCCGCCATCCTCACTTGGCCTCGTTCTCCTTACCCTGTGTTATTTTTTCTTCACAACTGGCATGCTGTGTTTCTATGTGCTTACGGTCTGACTGTCACTGCTATCTTCCCAGACCTCAGAATGGTGGCTCATACAGAACACATTTGTTGAAGGTATAAAGGAATGAACGGATGAATGACATTTCCAAAAGACAGAATAGCACAAGCAGAGCTGCAGAAGCAGGAAGGCTTATGACCTACGTATAACCACTCGTGAGCACTTCAGACGGAGCAGGGGTGGGAAGGGCCAGATAGGAACACGCTAGGCTTTGCAGGGCACGCGCAGTCTCTGTTACATCTTCTCTTGGTTGGCTGGCTGGCTGGCTAGTTCTTACAGTCCTTTAAGAAGATATAAAAACCAGTCTTAAGGTATCTGAGAAAAAACTGTCATCCTTTCTCAAGCCTGCCTTTGTCTGTCCTTCCAGAATCAGCTCAGGGTTCACTCCTTTGAGATGCCGTCCCTAACATCATCTCCTCCTGCTACGTGTTCCTTTTAAAGCTTACCTGTATCAAAGAAAGCATCACACTGTGTTAAAATCGGCTGGTTACCCGTACGTTTCCCTGATTAAACAATGTGATCCTTCAGGGTAGAAACTGTGCTTTTTAAATCTCTGTATCCCTAGCACCTAATACAATGTCTCGCACATTGCAGACAAACAGAAAATAGCTACTAAATTACTAAACAACTCTGCTCAACATACAGGGGAGAAGTGGCATGGGCATATATACACTACCAAACGTAAAATAGATAGCTAGTGGGAAGCAGCGCATAGCACAGGGAGATCAGCTCGGTGCTTTGTGACCACCTAGAGGGGTGGGATAGGGAGGGTGGGAGGGAGACGCAAGAGGGAGGGGATATGGGGATATATGTATACATATAGCTGATTCACTTTGTTATAAAGCAGAAACTAACACAACATGGTAAAGCAATTACACTCCAATAAAGATGTTAAAAAAAATGCAATGAAGTAACATGTTCTCAATGTGTCCCTAGAAACCTGTAGTCCAGAATGCACCAGAAGGCTCCAATTTCTCAGGGGCCACAGTGTCCTGTTCTGGTAAGATGGCCCCACGAGACTAAAACTGCAACATTTTAAAGAACTTGACACGAAAACCTCAGGACCAGATGTGTGCTATCGGGACAATGCCAGTTGGTAGTAATCAGAAGAGACGCAGGAAGAGGCACAAGGACATTAAACTGTGATGAGTTTGGGTTTATTCACTGACATCCATCCAGTGAAGGCGCTGTACATCCGCCTCGGGCTGGGTGCTGGCGACACAGACAAAATCAGATCGGGTCCCTGCCCCTAAGTATGTTAAACTCTGGTTGGAAAGACAGAGAGATAAAAGGCATTATACGGAAGCAGGATCCTTATCCAAGTGCGGGAGGGTTAACGCGACCTGCTGCAGAGAGCCTCCAAGGGGCACTGCGTCCCGACTGGAAGGAAGGTCTGCTGAGGGAGGCTCTCTCTAAGGAGAGTCATCAGGAGTGAGTCGGCATGAAGACAAGAAAAGAAGAACTTCACGAGGTCCCCAGGTTACAGGGGCAGGTGGGGACGCTGAGGGTAAATCAGCATGGCCGGGATGCAGCCTGCAAGTAAAGGCCCGTCAGAGCCTGAGGGAGGAAGAAGCGGTGGCCCAACACGAAGGGCCTGTGTGCCGGGCGACGGGACTGCTCTCTATCACCCTCACGCCTGGGAAGCCATGAAAGGAAGGAGCTTATGCAGAAGAGTGACACGATCAGTGCTATCGTTGTCATGAATGGCTTGATTCAAAATTCACCGAGACAACTTTCCTTGCGTGCAGGCACTTTAAGGCTGATAAACCTTGCACAGCAGATACTACTTTTTCTTTTAAAAATGAATATAGTGTGACTTCGAAGATAGGGCTGATATTTAGGAAATGACAAGTGACTTCAGAAAAGCCAGATGCTACCTACAGAGTCAGCTGGACAAATCAGGGTTTACCTACTGTTCACACTGCTAATAGCAACTAATAGGGGACAGATAGATACCTTTCTTTTTGGGTTCAATGTAAAACCTCACCCTACTTTTCTTTCATCTCTCCCTCCTCCTCTTCAAGCACAAACACTCCAACACTTACCATGTGCTAGGCCTGGTCTGGGCACAGGGGATACAAAGGGAAATCAAAAAACAATCTCTACCTTTGAAGAACATACATCCTAATGGAAAAACCAAACACAAAAGTATTTATAAAATGTGACAGAAGTATAAACTAACTATGTGGGTGCAAGAAAAAGCATCTGTCTTAGGAAGGCAAGGAAGTCTTTATAAAGGAGGACTTGAAGGATGAGCAAGAATTCCTGTGGAAGAAGCAGGTGAGGTGAATTTCAGTAGAGAGTGCAGCATGGGGACTTTAAAAAGGGAACGCGCTATGATTGTGACTCTCAACCTTCTATTGTACTCCAAAACACCTGAGGGATATAATACACTCCCACCAAAAACAGTGGCTCACCACCTCGAGGAGTCTCATGGGGGTGGAACGGTGGAGGCGAACCATCAGCTAACAGTATATTTGGGAAAACAGGAAACATCACTTCTGAAAAAGATCAAAAAATGCCCTCATAGCATTTTTTGAGGAGGAATTTGATAGAGGAATTTGATCCCCTCATAGCGCATCCTCAATCCCACTGCCAAGAAAAGTTAGACACTCTTGTTCCTTCAATCTCACTCCCGTGGAAAATCACAGCTCTAGGGGTAAGGGAGAGCCCTTGGTGTAAAGTGGAAAGTCTGTGTGTGTTCAGGCAGGAGACGGTCCTGCAGAGAAAGGACACAAAGGAGGGCTAGGGTCACCACAGGCGCCACGTTGGGAAACGTACATTTTTCCTTCAGGCCAGTGGCCTTCAAACTGGGGTATATGTG